ATCTCCAGGAAAGGGGTACTTTTTCGCGCGACAAAATCCGGCCCGAGAATTGTAAGGAAAAAGGGGGGGTATTTGACTTTTCACCCGGAGATTTCTTTAAAAAGGGGGTGGTTTTTTTTTCTCTCTCTCTTTGGACTCCTGAGAAGTGTAAAAAGGGGGTTATGAAATATCTGGAATAATTAGAAAAATTGATCAAATCCCAGGATCAAATTCCTAAAATTCCTGCAAGCATTGAAAGCTCATTCATTGGCCCCCAGTCCCCCTCGATCGACTAGAGCTCGCGTGAAATGGGGGGGGGGGGGGGGTGGTACATTTAGCAGTGTTCTGGATTTGGGGGGATCTCAAAAAGCCAGCGAAAAACGGCGAAAGAAGGATTCAGAAATGTTGGCAGTCTTGAAATAGGTGGGGGGGGGGGGTGCTTTCAAATGGAGGAACGAGCATACGCGTACCCTAAATAACACTGAGTGGGGGGAGCCGGGCATCTACTGTACATGATTGCTCTTTTAAAGCGCTCGCGAGCTGGCGCACTTTACGTCTGGGCTATAATAATACATTGCAAAATAACGAACAAAGTATTAAAGTTTATGAAGTGCTTGTTCTTGCAAGTCGCGCTACTACTCTTAATGATAGTTACATACTGTATAAGTATAGTCTATACAGGTATACATACATACAAAAATAACTCATTTATCATGCCTTATGCTGAGATTGAAACAATCAAAATAAAAATTCTTCTTCCTTTTTTTTCCTTCTCTTTTTTTTGTAATCTCAGGGGGGGGGAATATTTGTACAGGCCTCCCCCCCCCCTCCTACAAGCAAAGGGGGGATGCATCCCCCCACCCCCTCCCCCCCCCCCCGGGATTTACGCCCCTGGCCCTAAGACAGATCCATGGATGCTAATCTGACCGTTATTTATTGACCAAAACCCCTAATAATCCGGGGGCTCCCCCCCCCCCCCCTGGACCCCACAACAATTTGTGCCCTACCAGTGTCATAAATAAGGTATCAAAATATGCTTATCTGACTGTAATTTTTAGGCGAAAACCTCTGAGCATCCACAGGCTCCGCCCCCTCGACCCCACGCCAATTAGTGACCTGCCAGTGTCACAAATAAGGTATCATTATGCTCATCTGACAGTAATTAAATGCCTAAACCCTTTTGCCTCCGGGTGCTCAGACCCCTGGTAATCCACGCCAATTCGTGACCTGCCAGAGTCACAAATAAGGTATCAAAATATGCTCATCTGACCTTAATTTATTGACCAAAACCCCTGATCATCCGGAGGCTCCGCCTCCTGGACCCCACACAAATTTGTGTCCTACCAGTTTCACAAATAAGGTATCAAAATATGCTTATCTGACTTTAATTTATTGGCGAAAACCCCTGAGCAACCGCGGGCACCGCCCCCTAGACCCCACGCAAATAAGTGACCTGCCAGTGTCACAAAAAAGGTATCATTATGCTCATCTGACGGTTATTAAATGCCTAAACCCCTTTGCCTACGGGGGCTCTGACCCGTGGTACCCTACGCCAATTCGCGACCTGCCAGAGTCACAAATAAGGTATCAAAATAGGTTTTATAACACATGCTCCGCAAAAAGCGACAATTGCTCCGCGACATTGCTTCGACGTCAAATGCTCCGCCGACAGTTGCACCGCCGACAGTTGCTCCGCCGACAATTGCTCCGCCTCACATTTGCTCCGCCGACATTTGCTCCGCCGACATTTGCTCCGCCGACAATTGCTCCGCCGACATTTCTTCCGCCGACAATTGCTCCGCCGACAATCGCTCCGCTGACACTTGCTCCGCCGACAATTGCTCCGCCGACATTTGCTCCGCCCCCAAAGTACCCCGTTGAAGACAAATGCTCCCTTTTGCAGGGAAAAAAGGAGAGGCAGAAAGGAAAAGAAAAGAAAAGAAAAGAAAAGAAAAGGAAAACATGGAAAAGAAAAGGTCAAGAAAAGAGAAAAGAAAAGGCTTAAGACAAGGGAAAAGGGACACAAAATAGACTATAGGAAGATTACGGTAAACCTTGCCGGTGTCATAGGCGATTTGTTCCGTGCAGGCGATCGGTTCCTCCGGAACCGATCGCCTGGATATGTACCCGCCGATTTGTTCCGGATTCGTAGATTCGTTCCGCTAGTCACAGGCGATCGGTTCCGGCCAGGCGATTCATTCCGTGGAACCAATCGGCGGGATATTTAGCCGCCGATCCGTTCCGAATCTCATCGGAGAGCGTGCGTGCTCACGTATTATTGAATACAGGCCATGGTACACCCCTAAAGCAAAATGAACTATTCTGGTCGGCCTTTGCAACCAATCAAACTTCTCCAAATAAACTACACCAACGATTGCCAATTTGAGAACTTTGTATAGAAATGCAGATTCCCGTTGTTCAAATATGTTGATAATTGCGGCCAATGATTGACCACAAACAGTAACTATATATAGACAGCGCCGTCGCGAAGCGACGGGGACTGGGTGGTCTAGCAAAAAGGGCAGTTGTTGCCATAGGCTTAGTTTGCCTGTAAAAGCAGATGTCGGGGTGTTTTCTAATCAGGCCTTCTAATTTGGTTTGAATGCTGCTTTATATGATATCGTGTTACGTCAACCACCTATTACCGGGCTTCATCACAGAATCTAATTATGCGTGTGGGCTGCATGCATGATGTACATGTAGTTTAAATGAAAGAGATGCGGGGTGGGGTGGGGGGGGGGGGGGGTCGGGGTCAACACAAAAAGAAATGAGTGGTCGAGCTGATAATTAAGAAGGACCAATAAAAATTAAAAAAAAAAAAAGAAGAGAAAGAAAATTCCTCAAGTAAAAGACGTGTCCGGCAGAATAAAAAAAAAAGAAATAAAAGAAAAACCCGACATATTTTGTTGAATTTTCAACCCTTGGTACTAGCCGACAAAAGTTAGTGTTAAACAGAGCCACAGCATAGTGTGTCTATACCCCCCCCCCCCCATTCCGCTACATACAGTGGCAGATCTGATGCGCCCCCTTGTTTGGAAACCACTAATTTCACGTACATTTTCACGTACATGTAGGCCTAATATCAGAAAACTATCGCCTGCCCCCCCCCCCGTTTTTCAAATTTTCGGGCTGCGCCCGGCCCCTATTTTCGAATCCTGGATCCGCCGCTGTAGTGCGCACCCTTTCCTTACTTATTCCAAGTGCCATTTTAATATCAATTGTCACAGTTGCTACGTGCACCTTATACTTTGACAAAGTGGCCCTTGTACCTTTTATGCATTTCCCTTGTAAGCATGCCCTTTGAATCTGTGATGGGTGTCCCATCTGTAAGTTACACTTTTTTTCTTTCCCTTTTTAAAAAAAAATTAGAATACTTCAGTCTCAGAAAGGCCTCATTCTCTGAAATTTCAGATAATTTTCTCATTGCCCATGTAACTGGCCTGCATGGAGTGGTTATCTTTATTCTCATGTGCTTTCGATGTAGAAACTGTGAAGCCAGTCAGTGTGGTGTAAGGAAATACTTGTGATTAACTGATCATCTATAAAAAATTAAAAAAAGAAACCATGAGCCTGCATGCATGTAACGCAGCAAAAAAGAAAAAAAAGAAAAAATGAAGGGGGATATGGGACAGCGTAACAAGGGTTGCGTTAGTGGGGGGGGGGGGGGCAGGGAGGAAATTTAAATTGTATTTCAAAGGGTCCCAAATACCTAAGAGGGACATGTGAAAGGGGAGATGTGAAGGAATTTAGGGAATCATATACACAGTCTACTCCCGTTATAACGAGCACATATACGAGATTCCCTTTTAAAGACGCAATTCTACTACCGTCCCTGTTTCAAACATGTGCACATGGGTCTATGTGCCTATTTCATTACAAGGTAATTGGTTTGGTCGCAAGCACCTTGTTATTTTCTAAATGTGTTCATTACTGTTTAAACCAATTTCATTTCATGGAGCCAGTCGTCGATCGGCCGCCTGGGTCTGGTTTTCAGCCACCTTATCAATCTTCTCTCTAATTTCTTATAATAAACTTAATACGGCCTAATTCTCAATCAATATCATAAGGTACATGTAGCTACGTCAATAGTTATTACAACTTTATGCTTGGAATGTTAAAGCTTCACGAGAGGATTTCTTAAGAAAGAATTTTTACTGTAACTCTCATTGTGTTAGATCGGATGCTCGATCTGCATATGAACGAAAACAAGGAAACGCAAAGCGTAGCATCCCCCTCGCAGGGTACAAATGGCCTATGTATAGTCAGAACAAGTTTATACCTCCATTAGACTTATTACTAGGCAAGGAAATTACTAACATCTGGGGACTGAATGAACAGAATGTTTACTACTTTATTGAATGACCTATGACCTTCGACCTTTAACTTGAATACTCCGAAATTAATCTTAGGCTGTATTTTGATACCGTGTACCTTCATCCCAAATTTCATTAAAATCCGTCAAACATTACAAAAGTTATCGAACGGAAACCACATTTTCGCATATTTTCATGAGCTATGAACTTTGACCTTTGACCTACATAGGCCGAAATCGAAATTAAGGTGTGTTTTGATACCAGGTACCTCCATATAAAATGTTATTGAAGTTCCGTCAAACATTACTAAAGTTATCAAATGGAAACCACATTTGTTACGGAAGTTTCCCTTAAGAGGGATAATAAAGTCAGAAAAAATCTTGGACCCAGGAGGGATTCGAACCCGTAACATCTACCTCTATCCGGGAAGCGACTACACCACGTTGCCATCTCTGGTTATGCGGAGAAGACACGATGAATTAGGAACAAATACCCCAGGGCTCTTAGTTCTGACTCATTAATATTCAGTCCCAGTAGGACAATTAAAGATTATGAATGTTAAAGCTGGGTTATAGTTTTGGTAGCAAAAAGAGAATTGGCATGAAACTGATCAAATATTATAGTATTAATGACTGCTTTGAGAGAAATAGTTGTTTTATTACGCTCAAGGGAAGGTTAGAATTGTGCTATTCCCCGAGGCTTGCCTAAATCTATTTGAGACTTCTAGTTTTAAACAATGAACGTTAGACTTAACTTAAGAGTTAAGGATTTCAAAGAAAATGATTTTCAAGTGCAAAATAGACACCCATTAATAAGCCAGGCATAAGCATATTATCATAGAGGTCCAAGTTAAACGTTAGATCTACTAGATTCCTCTAGTCTAGATCTAACGTTAGATCTATGACTATACCCACTTGACTGAGTTCGGTTACGAGGTCGATCTATCGATAGGTTGACCTCGTAGTCATACTCATACTCAGTCATAGTCGTACTCGTACTCAGTTGTACGTATGTGATATCAAGATATAGATCTAGGGTATTATTACCTAGGAATTTTTCAGAAACACAATGCATAACTTACCTGTATAGACTAATTCTGTGAGCCCATCATGTGTCACACTCAACTTGAAGTTGGCTGCTTTCTTTCGGAGCCCCCTCTTCTTGTTGTCACTCATCCCTTCCGGGTAACTCCTATTCGCAAGAAACCTTTCGATGTTCCTGCAATCATCAACAAATTGCTCATCTGCCATTTTTTATGACTATCGCTCATACGTACGACTACGAGGTCAGGGGCGAATCTAGCTTTTTGCTAAGGGGGGGGTTGACCAATAATGACGATGCGGAGCATCGTCCACGAGCCGCGAAGCGGCGAGCCGATTTTTTGGGGGGTGTTTATTTGAACCCCGTAAGTGATGTTTTCCTGGCATCTATTAACACAATGGAGACCATAAAAAGCAGTGCATGAACACGTCCGTATTACACCCCCATGTATGGTAGTTTACCCTGTATGCCAACTTTTTTGCATGATTCAAACATACCTTCCAGTAAAAAAAGATGCGAGACTGGATTGCCGCAACTTCTTTGCCCTGTTTGCTTCCATATTGCTTGTCACTACACTCAGACCAGACTGATAAAAAAAGTGAGCAACTTGAACAAGTAATCCAGGAAATGAGCAGCCCAGCTCAGCGTGCGTTGCCAGGTTAAATCTTCACAAAATCCCCACCCAAACGACACTTAAAATATCCCCACAGTTGGCAAATTTTGACAGAAAATCCCCAAATTCGTTTTTCATAAAACTCAATATTATTTTCATTCCCAAATATTTATTTTTCATCCCCAAATACTTCAACAATCCCCCAATTTTTTTTTTTTTTTTTAATGTGGGGATTTTGGGGATGAAATCGGCAACGCTGGCCTAGCTTGTCACTTCGGCGGTGGCCCGTGTCCTCAAAAAAGCTGAGGGGGGGGGGGGCAAGGGACTCTGTGACATTTGTTTACCCAACCCCCCCCCCCCCTCCCCCCAAAAAGAAATAATAATAATAATAATAATAATAATAATAATAATAATAATAATAATAATAAATGAAATAAATACATAGAAATAGAATAAAATAAAATAACAAGTTTAAAAAAAAAGATAAGATTTAAAAAAATGGTCCCCGGATTTTTTTTGGGGGGGTTTCAACCCCCCCAACCCCCCCCCCCCCCCCCCCCCCCCCTCTACATCCGCTTCTGGAGGTTGACCTACGACTACGATGACAATGAATGCTGAAGGTCGATGCTGTCGAAATTCACGTTGACGTTATCGAGTTCGCGCCCAGATCAGCATGCTGTGTCGCAATATATCGTGCCGAGTATGCACGTGCGTGCATGCATATGATATACATGTACTCTATGCGCTTATACTAGTCAGTAGGTTATTTATTTATTTATTTTTCGTACCGCGCGCGGGTAATTCCGTACGAGGTTATAAACCTTATTATTAAGTAATATTTCAAAAAAAATAATATTGGTTTTCATTCCAACAATAAATACAAAAGTATCAAGATAAAGCTAAAATTTATTTTTACCATGTTTATTCGACACAAGTAATAAAAATATACGCGATTATATAAGCAGAAACGTTCGGCCAATGTCGGATAAGAACGGCGGCTTTCGAACGTATCTGCGAACGAGTCGATCCAGTAGATTCGTTCCGCGGAACAAATCGGCGCGCCGATTTGTTCCGCGGAACCCAGAACAAATCGCCTACCACACCGGCGCGGCGTCGGGACACGTCGGGGAAGAACTAGTCATAAAATTGAGTATGAAATAAACTACATGCTCGTGAAATAATCATTAGTGATTAAGGCAGATGGTTTTCAGTTATTATATGAAAAGGATGAAAATTCGCTTGCTCGCTACGCTTTATATGTTCGTAATACATGTTGTACATCAGTGATTAACAAGCGATGCTGGTCACGCAGATGCTTTTTGATATGAAATGGCAAGCCAAAGAAATTCGACCATTCGTTAACCTCGCTCGCAAACAAGGAATAAACAATAAATCCTGGAATAACACTTGCCCATTTGATTCAAATTAAGGGGCGTAAAGTAGTAAATTTCTATTCAAGATTATAACCTATGATTTTTACCGTCCTTGTTCGCCAAATTAACAAATAAAAAAAATAAAAAAACACATCCCCTTAAAGATACTATTCCCCTTTTGCAGCCAACATCTAATTCTGTAGAAATTTGCAGGAATTATAAATATGTCATGTATGTGAAAGTTAAACGTTAGCAGTGTCCTAATATTCAATTATGAAGGAAACCTGGTTATTTGCTAGACTTCACTGTCAGACACTATTGAGTGACAAACTGGCCTTTTTTTTCTTTGGTAATAACATACATAACATGAGCTGTAAAGGGTACATGAGCATTATTTGTCTACATCAATAACCCACTTCTTGTAAGGGCCAAAATTAAAATGATTGAATCTTTGCGCAGCATAAAACATACGACCATTCGGTACAATGGTCTGAAAACCAGACTATTACTTACTGGCTTTATAGATCTAGCTCTTAAGTCGATTCGACAACTAATAGTCGTTATTTTCCCACTTAAAGACATTTTCAAGCCCCCCCCCCCTTTTTTTTTTTTTAAGGGAAGCTCTAAATTAGTATTTACTTTCAAATGCCGTTGCAATGTAACCTTTTCATTTGTTGGGGCCTGCAAAGGGGACATAGTACCTTTAAATGTGTTTGTGCCCTCCCTTTCAAGGGACAAGAAGACACAGTTACTTAATATGTACACAAAAATATGCCTTTAATTATTATCAAAAGAGAAGTGCAAGAGAACTCGCTCACATGCTACGCTAACTCGCGATTATAATTTGTAACATATTCATTTGACGAATGTGCAGCTCCTAAACGTCAAACGAAGAATGGCGGAAGGCAGGTAGATGCTTTTCAATATAAAATAAGCTTAAAACCGCCCGCTCGCTAAAAATGAAATTGACATCGCCTTAACTATGAATGTGCCCGACCCGTCCTGCAGCAAGACAACTCTCTTTGATACTCATTATTGTTCACAATAATTTTTTGGTTGAACGCTCGCTCTTCAGTTTATGGTATAAACGTGCCCGTTTAATCAAGGAGGGAAATTAAACAGAAATATGCTATTCAATATTAATGATAACTCTACATTTTAGCTCTCTCTCTTTCTCGCTTTATACCATCGCTTACCAAAAGGGAATTAGTATAAACTTAAATTATATTGTGCCTAAGGAAAGAAAAAAAATCACTACTTATTGAAAGAAGGTCTACTAAAGTTTGAACAAATTGTATCTGTTACTTAAAAGTTTTTGCACCTGCTCCCCACCCCCCCCTCAAAAAGGGAATTGCGTCTTTCGCGAAGGTTTATTACTTTTTTCCCATCGGTGTCATCTGATTGGGGAATTAAAACGCATCCCCCTTCTCAGAATGCTGGCTACTGCCCTGAATAACAGCAACAAAACAAATCACACAAAACAAAAAAATAACCCATGAAAGAAATATTGACAGGCGGAGCAAATGTTGGCGGAGCAAATGTCGGCGGAGCAATTGTCTTGGCGGAGCAATTGTCGGCGGAGGAAATGTCGGCGGAGCAATTGTCGGCGGAGCAATTGTCGGCGGAGCAAATGTCATCTGTCATATGTCAAATGTCATATGCTCATCTGGCGGTAATTTAATGTATAAGACCCCTAAGCCTCTGGGGGCTCCGCCCCCTGGACCCCACGTCAATTCGTGTCCTGCCAGTGTCACAACTAAGGTATCTAAAAATGCTCATCTGATGGTCGTTTAATGTATAAAACCCCTGAGCTTATGGGGGCTCCGCCTTCTTGACCCCACACCAATTTGTGTCCTGCCAGTGTCACAAATAAGGTATCATTATGCTCATCTGACTGTAATTAAATGCCTAAACCCCTTTGCCTCCGGGGGTTCGGACCCCTGGTACTCCACACCAATTCGTGACCTGCCAGAGTCACAAAAAAGGTATCAAAATATGCTTATCTGACCGTAATTTATTGGCCAATACCCCTGAGCATCCAGGGGCTCTGCCCCCTAAACCCCACGCAAATTCGTGACCTGCCAGTGTCACAAATAAGGTATCAGAATATGCTCATCTGGCGGTTATCTAATGTATAAGTAACAAATCGAAGCTTTACTATATCGTGTAGACGTCTGCACTTTTTTGGCAAAGGTATTTCAGACGTACAATTCCTCCTTTCTTCCTTCGTTTAAAGAACTCCCTTTATAGCTAATAATTATACCTATAAATAATGATTTTTCTAATGTACCGCTTAATGCCCACTTTATCAGGAGTCTATAAGCGCTCCACATTAATGAAGTAATATAGTAACCTATACAACTTAGCATCCGTTTGTATACTATTACGGAAGGAATAAGTGGATGTTCTTGCTCATGTTGAAACATACGTCACTACAAGTTAATTTCAGATCTGTATTGATCTAAAGTAAGAATGCTTGTACATAATGTTGTCTGTCACGTTCTTAGTACATTTCGCAAATATGAAAATGATGAGAAATTTCTTACCATCCGATAACGGTGTGGCGGCGATCCATGTCTGAGCAGCCACGTCTCGTGTGGCAGGACATTTTACAAGTTTGACCGCCAAACCGCGGAACTATCTTTATTTTGCACATGTCGAACATACCAGTTTTCAAGAGAACAGTCTTTGAACCAATGATGGGAAACTGTAATGAAATTAGTATTGTTTTCACCCCGTTTACACTTGCTTTGTAGGTGAGGATGACCAATTAGGCCTTTGCTTCAGTTATCCTCAGTTTTAGGCTAGAAAGTTTTTAGGTGAACGCTACGTGTCTCAGGCCAGATAACTGCGTTGATTTGGTTTCATTATGTGAACGCTACGTGTCTCAGGCCAGAGAACTGCGTCGATTTGTTTTAATCTAAATTGGGGTCATTTTTATGCGATTAGTATTGTTTACACCCCGTTTACACTTGTTGTGTAGGCTAAGGATGACCAATAAGGCCTTTGCTTAGTTATCCTCAGTTTTAGGCAATAAAGTGTTTATGTGAACGCTACGTGTCTCAGGCCAGAGAACTGCGTCGATATACGCTACGTGTCTCAGGCCAGAGAACTGCGTTGATTTGTTGTTATTATTTGAACGCTACGTGTCTCGGGCCAGAGAACTGCTATTCATTGTGAAGTTAACAGACTATTTTCATTTGAATTGTTTGTTATATACCACAAGTCTAATGACGATAGAGAGTTTCTATATTACAACTAATAAATAACATTGCCAATTGCAAAACGAGTTGTCGATGTCCTTTTTCCTTGTCCCAGGTAGATAGAACAAGCACCTTTCCCAAATGATACAAGGCGCTGTCTCTTAGACTACCAACATTTTACGGGGAGATGTACAGGTATGTTTTCAGTTGTTTGTTGACAAAATCTAGTGAGGAGCTGATGAAAACCTAAAAGAATATAATGTTCTCTGTTGCTGAAAGAGAGAGGAGATGTATACAGGAAGTGTGGTTTATATATATTTGAATGTTATAACAATTATCCGGTATTGTATTCTATCAGCAACTTGGGGCCAGTGTAGTTCATACAACTTTGGAGTAGCATGGGACCATTTCGGTTTTTTGACATATTTGACGTGCATCTGTTTTGGAGACCTTAATTCTGCCCGGGTCCTTCTTACTGATACCCCCAAGCTAGCATCCACCATAAGTCCAGCCTATAGAGCACAATTGCTCTAACGACATTGTGACATGTTTCTAGACTAAGTGCCTTCTGATGCGCTTTAAGGTATATGTTTGCCAGTTCAGGGTGCGACATAAGTTGGTGACATTTCCCCATCAAACACAATCCCAGGTCCCTAATTTCCTGAGGAAATCGGAATGTCCTGATCACCAATAGAAAAAGAAGGATTACTGAGACGATTTCAATTGTTTTATGATGCAGCAATGACAAATTCGGTCTTGACTTTAACTTAGACATGACAAGCCAGGCTTGTATGTCTTCTAAGCACTCCGAAAGACGGCAATACGCACATGCCGCTTTCCCATGCTTGGTAAACATCTGAATATCATCTGCATATACATAATTTTGAGTTGAGTGCTGTCTTATGATGTTTCCTATACAACGAATGTAGTAGGTAAACAATAATGGACCCCTGTGGTATCCCAAATTTTAGATGTTGGTCACTTGAGAATGATCCACTGACGTGAACCCTACTAGACCTGTTGCTAAGATACGATCGAAATCAGGACGACAGATTATCGCCTAGACCAAAGTCCTGGGCTAATCAATGTGAAAGAATGGTGGTGCATTGTATCAAAGGCGAAGGAAAGGTCCAACATTAGCAAGAAGTGATATTGTCTATATTTGATATTCTGGATTTTCATTTTAGTAGGATTTATTAGGTTTGTTCTTTTTTTCCAAAGTGAATCCCTAATATTTTAACATCAGAATTGGTAAAT